TGGGGGCTGCTGCAAGGCTGCTGCAAGGCTGCCCCTCTGCAGTGTCCCATCCAGTGTGTGCCACACAGGGCTGTGCTGGGGGAACAGGCCCTCACTCCAGGGGTTGTTGACAATGAGAGCTCCAGCCTTGTCCCTGTGAGCCAAGAGGCTTCGGGCCCCTTCAGGCCTGAGAATGGCTGGGGCAAGAGGCAGCTCAGCCTCACAGGGCAGTGCTGAGGCTTCTCTGGGGCTCCAGGTGCCTCTTGGTGTGAGTCCTAGACACGCTCTGTGCTCACAGTGCTGAGCAGCTCTGCACTAGGGGGTCCCACTGGATGAGCCCCTCGGAGCCAAGCTTGATGGGATGATGCTGTCAGGGGAAGCTTCTGAGTTTGCCTTGTCCTTTGCTGTGCTCCAGAGAACAGCTATGCCCACAGGCAGCTCCTCAGGGAGAAGCTGATCGATTTCGTGGTGCCGTTCCTGCCCCTGGAGTACCAGCACGTCAGGCTCTGTGCACGGGACGCCTTCCTGGCCCGGGGCCTTCCCTACACCGAGGCAACGCTCGACCAGGTGGCCCAGATGATGGTGTTTGTCCCCAAAGAGGAGAAGCTTTTCTCTGCACAGGGCTGCAAATCCGTGCCCCAGCGCATCAATTACTTCCTTCCTTGAACACCAGGGGGACCAGACGTGTGCTGAAGGTGGTTCTGCACTCCGGGAGCTGCTGCTCTCTTTGCACAGGGTCAGAGGCAATGACCCAGCCAGGAACTTGCACAGGGGCTTAACAGAGACTCAAGCCCCCCAGAGCTGTTGCAGGGAAGGAGGTGCCACCCTTACTCCTGGGATGTGGGGACAGCCTGTGCTTGGCTGCTTTGGGAGCCTGTCTGCTGTTCTAAGTCCCTTGTTTAGCTGGAGGGGTGATGTGGTTCTGCTGACAGATGCTGTCCCATGAGTGGGGACTGGGAATGTCCAAGTCCCTGTTTTGTTGCTGTGTGGTGACAGGAGGCCTTGGACAGGCTGGTCCTGTTGAGACAGTGTGGCCAAAGCCACATCCCTGTCTCCAATTTTCTCTGTCATTTTCCAACATCACACAGAACTTTGCTGGAGTAGGGTTTATCCCCTCTGTTGCTCTCATGCCTTTCTAAGGTGTCTGCTGCTCAGGGACACATGTGCCAGGACTGCAGTCTGTGCAGGGAAAAAAGGACTGAATAATCTCCTCTGGAGATGCCAAATCCATAGCTCTCACCTTGGAGTGTCCACCTCCCACTGGAGTCTTCCGTTGTATGGAAGCAGCTGCCGGCTGGGGGGAACTTCTGCTGCAGTTATTTTACTGAGCAGGTTGGTGCAGAGCCCACTGCCTTCACTGCAGAGCCAAAAGGGGAGAGAACTCCTCTGCACAAGGACAGAGGGCAGGTGAGGAGCATGGTGGCTGAAGCATCAGGCTGCAGCTGAATGTGAGTTTTCATGGATGCAGTACAAGCTTGGGGTTTTTGCCTTCCTTTTTTTGTTTTTGCCTTCAGTACATTTCATGCTGTGGCTTTTTAGCTGGAACAGTATTATTATTATTATTATTATTATTATTACTCCAAGGGGCTGTTTGCTGTCTGGGTACTGGCCAGGTGATAAGTGTGTTGCAGCAGCTCCAAAACATTTCATCAGCGTTACGGGAATCGCTCTGTGACCTCTGGGTCAAAACTCCCTTCCAACAGGGCTGTGCTGGCCAGGAGTGACACAGCCCCTGCCAAGGACAGGGCTTGGCTTCCCAGCCACCCCCAGGGGGGACCTTTGGTCTATTTTAAGCCCTGACCCATTTTGTGGTGCCAGTGATGAGCAGTGTGGCCTCTGGGGAGCAGTGACCAGACAGACACGTCGGGCCCTGCAGCCTCTGAGCCCCTGCTTCCCTCCAGGCGCTGTTACCTGAGGAGGGGCCACAGCCCCAGGCAGAGATGGGCCTGCTGCTCTCCCACTGCTCAGCCAGCACAGCTGCCTTGACCCAGCTGTGTGGAACAGACCCTGGGGCTGTGCCAGGGGGGTGAGCAGGCATTTCTGACACTGGGCTTGTGGTTAATGTCAGGTGTCAGAAACCTGGGAACCGTCAGGGTGATGCCTCCAGCTGGGACAGGGAGGCTGCTGCCTCACAGGACACGGCTCCGCTTGTGTTTGGTCACCTGGGCAGAAGTTTAGCAAGCTGTGTGCTGAAGGTCAGTAGCCCAAAGGTTGTGTGTGCAAGCCAGGATAAGCCAGGATTTTTCCTGAATGTCAAGAAGTGTTCAGCTGGGTTAGGCTGCCCCAGGCTGGGGTGGCAGGAGGTCACTGGGGACTGGTTTGAGGGGGGCATGGAGCAGCTCTGGCTGTGGCTGCTGAGGGAGGTGGGGGTGACACTGACAGGGGCGAGGCCAGAGCTGCACTCTGCTGGGGTACCTGTGTGTGTGTCACACCTGGGTGAGCTCTGATCAGCCCCAAACAGCAGCAGCTGCTCTCTGACCACGCCACAGTCACACCAGTTTGGTTCTTAAATAAAGATACTGCTTTTACTGCAACCTGCTGGAATTAAATGAGCTCTCATTTGAACAATTTTTTCTACCCAAATGAAAGAGCTTCTGGTTAGGACTGAGCAGTTTCAAATATTCATTGAGGGAAAAAAAAAACAAACCAGCATCTACTCAAGTGATTTTTGCCAATAAAATATTGCAACCTTTATTTAAAACAAAATGCAAATTGGCAAAACTTTGTGGAACGACAGGCAAAGAGGCCCTTCTAAGGCCTTATTTACATCAAGTTTAACACTGTTCGCAGTTCACAGTCAGACGATAGTGAGAGAATTAAATTAGAAAAACAACCAAAATATATTACAATAACAATTAAAAAACAAAAACAGTTGACAACACTGCTAAGAGTGATTGGTGATTAACGTGATTCATTTCAATCCATTCCTGCCCTCAACGAGTTCACTACCGATACAAACAGTGCCGTGTGAGCCCAGCAGGCTCCACCTCCCGTGCACAACGGACACGTGGGGAAGGAAGAACGACCTCCTTTGGTACAGACATTGCTTAGCCTGGAGCTGGGAGAAACAGATCCGTGTCCCAGAGCCTCCTGGGACCTGCTACCAGAGAATGGGCTGAGGGCTTTGTTCCACACTCCAGGGAGGAGCAGCACCGCCCCAGCAGCCTCCACACGTGCTGCAGTTCCCTTAAGTGTCCCTGCCAGCTCCCGGTGGCAGCAGGGCTGAGCTGTGTCCCAGAGAAGGCAGCAGCCTGGTGGCTTTGGAAGCACCATCCTGGGGGGTCACCGGTGCCTGTCGGTGCTGTGGATGCCCCGGAGGCCCCGCCTGCCTCAGGTGAGTGGTAGCACACGGGGGCTGGGGTTGCTCTGTGGCTGCAGTGTGCCCCACACACGCCTCAGCCTGCTGGGGAGGGGCTGCTCTGTCTCCACCGTGGGGTTTGGCTCCCTGTGCCCCACAAGCCCCCCAAAGCACCATGACAGATGTCACCCTCGTGTCTGGCTGTGGCTCACAGACACAGGGCCAGTGGCACCCAGGACAAAGCCCTGAGGAGGACAAGCACAGCTCCTCTCTCCCTCCCTGCTGTGCCATCAGCAGTGCTGCTCCCTTCCATTCCCCATTCCCACTGGCAGAATCTGGTGCAGTCCCAAGACCCAGACTCGCAGCTCAGCCTCACCCTGCCCACACTAATGAAGAACATGACTAAACCAAGTGCACCACTTTGGGGTTAGGAGGGGTGTACAGTGCAGGAAGAAGAGAGAATTGCACCTGTGAGTCAGCTGATTCCCGCAGTGGTAGGAAGAGAAAGTGCCCCCCTGAGCTCACTCCGTGCTTTGTGCTTGGCAGCAGCAGGCCCGTGGGTGTCTTCCCCATGGCAGAGACAACTGCTTTAAATTCTGGCCCACAGCAGTGCAAGAGAGCCAGCCCAGCTCCAGCTGTGCCCCACAGCTGTCTGACAGTGCTGAGGAGAAGAAACAACGGGACTTCTGCCTTGTCCCCTGCCCCAAACCATGGAGCAGGAAGTGCTCTTCCCTGGGACAAATAATGGGGTTTGTTCCTTTGCACATCTGGAGCCAGGCTGAAAGCAGAGAATTGGCCACAGTGGAGACCTTTAAGGCTGAAGAGAAAGGCAGACCTAGCTAAAGGGAGAGGGAATGGTAGAAGTCCTAGAAGCAGCAGTGGAAGCAAAGACAACTGGATGGTAATTTACAGCAGAAGCAGCTTTCCCAGATTCCTTTTGCTACCCTGCCAGAGGGCAGGGCAGCATTGCAGTTTGGGAATAAAACACCCTAGGGCAGCAGAAGTCCCAGCAATCCCACAGCCTTCAGTTTAGGGGAAAAAACCTGTCAAGTCAGCACTACCTGTGCCACAATCTGCCCACCTGATGTTAGATGGTAGGTGAGGGCAGGGAAAACACTACCCATGAGAGTGACAATCTCCAAATTCCACCAGCCTTTGATTTTGCACCACAGGCGGGGTCAGAACTAAACACTCCTGTGTGGGGCACAGGGGTTGTAGAGTCTCTGTGTTGGAGATGCCCAAAAGCTGCCTAGACATGGTCCTCACAGGTGACTCCTGGTGGCCCTGCTTGGGAGAGTGTTTGGACCAGCTGATCTCCAAAGTTCCCTCCAACCTCAGCCATTCTGTGACTCTGGAAAAGCATTTGGATACTGCCCTGTCCCACTGGCCATCTCTGCTGCAGGGGCAAGGAGAAAATGGGGCACCTGGAAGGAAGTGGGGATGGCCCACAGTGTTCATTGGGACACAGCTGCTTTCTTCTGCAAGAGGGGAGTTCTAGTAGTTAGAAATTCCATATTGCTATTCTACCACTTTTGCTGTAGCTTTTCTGGAAGACTGGCATTTAGGGAAAAAAAAAAAGTTTATTTCAAAATGCTCATCAGAACTGGGCTAAACTTTAAAATGTTCTGGTTAAAATTCCTCTCCCCTGGAATCCCTTCAGTTCCAGCCCATTTGTCCCAGGCTGAGCAGCAGTACAGCCATGGAACCACGTGATGGCCTGCCAGCATGACCTGCCCTTCTGCCCCCAAGGAAAGAGCCCCCCACCTTCTAAATGCTTCTGACTGTTTGACAGGCCCTGTGAAGCAATGCCACAAGGCACCTTCCCTTTGCAGGTCACCTTTCCCAGGCAGTCAGTTGGGATGCACACCTTCCATGAAGATGGCTGGAAGAGATAAGGTAAACCACAAAAGCCCTCAGTAAAGTCTAGGAGATAAGGGGTTGGTGCTCTGCCTGTGGGGAGCCTTGGGACATCTCAGGGCTGCAGGGATCAGGAATTGCCACCTCGAGGGTTGCTTGGTTCCTTTCCCCCCAGCACTTCCCTTCCTGGGCCAGAAGCTCACTGGTCCATTGTACCTCACATGCTGCTCCTCTGCTGTGCCTCCACACACCCTGAAACAACTGTGCTTAGCTCAGACCAGAAATGAAATGAGGATTCTCAGCACATTTCGTAAGATTTTTCCAGGCCTGTCTCGCTGTGCTCTGTGGAAAAAGCAGGGACACTTGCTGAGACACCCAGCCTGCTTCCAAGCACCACCACGTGCTTCTAGGCAGAAACAAAGTGCCCATCCTCTAAAGTCACACCCGTGCCACAGCTCCACTCTGAATGCTCAGACTAAAAGCAGCACAGCCACACTTCAAGTTTAGAAAGCATTTTAGCCAAAAAAACAAAGGCTTAAGGTGCAAAGCAAGCAAGACCCTCTATCACCAGCAGCGTGCAGTGAGCAGCAGCATGCAGGCAAGGTGTATTTGGAGCCAGGTTTCAGGCCTGTTTCCTTTCCTCTCCACACCTGCAACTGAGCTCTTCCTACTTGCCAGTACATTCACACCTTGGGGAGCTGTGCAGAGACACAGAGCAGCTTTCTGAGGCCACACCAGTCTGCAAACAGCACCAGCACCAAGGATGACAACACCAGCCACTCAGCTGCTCTCATTCTGGGGTTGTTGGAAGGCATCAGAGACCCACTGGGAGCCCTTCAAGGCAGAGCCACAGCTTTTGTTGCCACGCCTGAGGCACAGCAGTGCACAGGTTATGTGCACATTCCCTACACCACAGTGCAGGAATCTGGTCTAGCCTTTAAAATATGGGAACAAATCCATGGAGATACCTGTGGTGTTTCCTGTGTGCTGCCATACTTTATCACCTTGGGATGCAGAGAAGCTGGAAGCCTGTGAGACAGTAAACACCAGAACAAATCCCAGGAATCTGGCAGTGTGAAGGGTAGGGAGAGGTGCAGGGAATCCTGCAGCAGTAAGGACACGTGGTGGGCAGCCTGGGCTGTACTTTCTCATTCTCCAGCTGGCCTGCAGTGCTGTGACTGCTAAAGGAATGTGGAGAACAGCCAGGGGGGCAGAGGCTCTGCCTTACCTACCATGGGTCCTCACGGTGATCACACTGAACTGGGGGGTAAACGTGGTAACAAGTTAAAAACAATCTAGAGCTTCAAAAAAGGAACAACCTACCCACCCCAACAACAACACTGGCAAGTTGTGCAAGAGCCCCAAACTACTCAAAAATGACCATCAAGCAGCACCTGTGCTAGACCACTAGAAATAGGTATCAGCTGAGTGAAGGCTGTGTGGTGGGAAGGGGAATTCCAGTGGTAAGTCTGCCCAGCATCCCTGACACTTCCATTACAATGACAATGAGAACGTGGTGGATGAGGTGGACAGGAGGGAAAAGGGACAGTTTCATATATTAACTAATCTTGCAGTTCTCACTACAGCAGCAGCAGTGCTGTGGAAGTTAAGCCATCCAGACCAGTGCATCCACCTCCAGCAGCTCTGAATACTGTCAGTGCATTAGACCTTTCCCCCAGCTGTACATGCCCCCCTCTGGAGCTGCTCTGCCCTTGGTACCAGCAGAGCCCCATGCCTTTCCTTGGCCTTGACAGGACAGCAGAGCACAGGTGAGAGCAGCCAGGGTGGGATCTGTGCAGCCAGGCAGCTGCAGCCAGCCCAGGGCTCTGCTGTCACCCCCGACCTGCCCAGAGGGAGAACCTGCCGTGGGTTCTCCTGCCTCTCCAGGGGAGGAGAGGGAACTTTCTTTCCCTTGCCGTACCAAGCTAATCAGCCTGGCTAGGTAGGGACAGATCCTTGATGTTCTGCCCCTTACAGCTTTAATCTACCCTCTCCATCCCCAATTTTTTGAGATGAACCTGTAAACGTGAGGAGAACTCAGTGATCTGAGGTACTTCACATACTCAAGTATCAGTCTTTCCTTTTGAAAGCATCAGTACAGAAAAACAGTCCCGCCCTCCCCGTGTGTGTTTCTCTTACCCAGATTGACAGTAGCTACCTTTGCACCACATCACTGATTTCTTGGACACATGACAATAAGTTATTAAGGACAGGGTTCGCCCCGTGGACTCCAGCGGCCGTTGAGGACACCTGCAGCTCCTGCAGGCTGAGTTCCAGTTTGCTCACGGCTTCCCGGAAGGCGAATTTGTTGCGCGTGTGGGGGATGCAGTCCACGTAGCCTGAGCAGTAATCCAGCAGCTGGTGCCCCGTGTCCACCAGCTGGCTGTTGGGCGTGGGCTCGGCGATGGCGCTGGACAGGAGATCGGCGCACTCCAGCAGCGCCTCCTTGCTGATCTTGTCTGCGGGGATTTTCTCGGCCGCCTGCTTGGTCTTTCTCAGCGCCACCTTAGCGCCGGCCGTGCCGTTGGCCATTTTCACTGGGGAGGTGGAAGACGTTGACGGAGGCACTTGGGGTGGAGGCATCACGGGCCTCCCGGATTTTCCACCGACAGGTGCTGCTGCTGCTGCCTTCTTACTCCCTTCGCTGGGTTCCAGTCCGTGCTGCGCTCCCGCCGCGCTGCTCGGCTCTTCCGCTGCGTCCGAGCAGGCAGCCGGCTTCTGGAGGAGCCGCATCACCGGTGGCGGAGGTGGAGCACACTTTGGTTTTACCCGTCTGGGCCGGTCCCTGTCGCCGGAAGAAGTGACCTGATGCTCAGATAAGAGCTTAAATTTATTACCCTGAGAGTCTGTGCCAATGAGCTGCACGTCTGCTGGAGTGTGTTTTAGAGTGGGTGAGATTAGGACTGGCACTTTGTGGTTATGAGTGGTTGGAAGTATTGCTGCAGCCTTTACCGGAGATGACCACCCCGGCCTCTCGCCATCCTCAAGGGCCCCTTGTCGTGGGCCGCTGGTTTTTTCCTTGCCCTTAGGAGCTGCCACCAGCCCCAGACCCTCCTTTTCTTCCAACGCAGAGGGAGTTCGAAAAGGGAGCGCTGTGGCACCCCTTGGCAAGAGCTTTGCTTTTGGTCTCTCTCTGGTCAAAGCAGGGCCTTCTTCAAACCTTTTGGCAATCAGGTCACCGGCCCTCTCTGTACTCTCATCGGGCTGGGAGGAGGTGGACACAGTCCGTTCCAGCTGAATTTTTGACCTCTGGGAATTTCTGGGAAGGGTCATTGCCATCCTATCCTGCTCTGGAAGCCCTGAGGACATGGAAGATGTAGAGTTTGACCTTGGAAAAGGCTTTGAAGCTTCTTCATTGCCAGTGGGTTTTCCTGCTCGCAAACCCAGCGTCTTTTTAATCAAGCGTGGCGTGAAGAAGCCAGTGATGCCCGACCACCCTCCGCCAGTGCTCACAGCCCCAGCACTGCTGGGCCCAGTGCCCTCCTCGCCGTAGAAGGTCCTCTGCACAAAGCCCCCTCCGTAGCACTTGGGGGGAGCCAGGCTCGTGTCCTGCGGTGCTGGAGCAAAGGAGAACCCGTCCACGTGCTGCAAGGAGGCCACAGAGGAAAAGTTACCCGTCAGCTCGTATTTCTTGTGGGGCTGGTTCTCCATCTCCCGGAAGGAGCTGCTGCGCTTGGGAGGCGTGGGAGCGTTCCTCTTCTTCATGAAGGAGCTGAAGAAGCCCCCTTTCCTGTCCCTGGTGAACGTGGTCTCTTTGGCATCCTCCAGGAGGCTGCTGGGGGATTTGTCCCTCTGCTTGCGGGGCAGCGCGGGGGACCCGCCTGCTGGCTGTGTGCTTCTGATGAAACCTGGCCAGGAGAGACAGGTATCAGTCTGGACAATCTACTGCCATTTCCACCTCCCTGTCCTGCACTGGCTTTTACAGGCCTGGTGTATGTACCTGCCCAGGTGCTGCAGAGATAGAGTGAGGGAGGAAGCAAGCACTTGTACTTTATCTTTTCTTTACTTTTTTACATTTCTGTATGTGACTTGTCTGTTGTCTATACTGAGAAGGCCACTTTAGAAAGATATCAGAAAAGAGCTGCTCTTTTCTTTCAGTTTATTACTCCCTTACCATAATTTTCTGCTCCTTTCCAAACACCCTAAGTATGGGAGAAAAATCTCTTGCTGCATTGTTAACTTTAGTTTTGAAGCTATCACTTAAACAAGAGCAGCAAAACTGAATTTGAAAGAAGAAATACAATGGGATTTACTAAAAGAACATTGAAAAAACTACTTGCTAGTAAATAATTCGCACAGCAGCACAAAGCATGCCCACGTCAGGTTGTTCTTTGTGTCACACCTGGTGCTGAGCTGGATGCTGAGTGCTCCACAGTGTCCTGTGCTCCCTCAATGTTCTCCTTGTTCTCTGCCTGCTTCTTCAGGGTCCTTGTCTTGGAGGGGAGCATGGGTAAGCGGGGCAGGTAAGGAACTATGGATGAGGATGAGGCCGTTCTTCCAAGCTCCTCTGCTACCTCTGTAAGGAAAAGAGGAACAGTCAATAACAGAGATCAGAAAAGGTAGAGGGAAAAAAACCCTGGGTCTTTTCATGGAAGAGATCCATGACTGAGTAATACATAATTTATGGATTTAGTCTTTGTTCAAGTCTAGAAGTATTTAGGGTCAGGTGTTTTTCCTAACAACCTTCCTTACACCTTTATAAATTCAGGAAAAAAAACCCA